TGCCTCTGCCACCATCTAGGGCTGGAGGCCCTGAACCCCACAACCCTGGGGAGGGTTGGAAACAGAGGTCAGAGAACCTGGAACTTGGATTTTCTTCTTCTCTAACTATTTTTTGACCCTAGTTCTGTTGGGTGCTCCGTCTTTCGGGGTCCCCAGTTTATTTTAAAAGCCCGCCACCCTGTTATGGGCATGCGCAACTGCCTCGACGGCAATAATATGTCAGGACAACGCCATATCCCCCCTGAACTTGGGGGGCAGCCCGGGCAGCCACCACTGGAGGCCCCAGGGGCAGCTGCCCCCCGTGCTGGGCCTGGCCCAGCCGAAGAGATGGAGACCGAACCGCCCGCCCGCGAGCCCGTCCCCGTCCAGACCGAAGGCCGAGCCCGCGGACCCTCTGAGATCTCCAGGCACCACTTCCAGGGCCTCGACCAGGCCCTCGAGGACGCCGGAGTCTGCAGAGGCCTCAGCCCACGTCCTGAGGAAGCCATGCCCTTCGAGGTCCAGCAGCCCCGCCTGGGAGGCTTCAGGCCTGCTGGGAAGCGGCCTGGGGACCCCACTGGGGCCCAGGCGGGCCTTGAGGCCTCCCGCCCACCGCTCATGGAGCCTGGGGCCTCCGGAAATGCCACGCCCAGCTCGGGAAGCTATAGCCCTCCACCAGAAGAAGCGATGCCCTTCAAATTCGAGCAGCAGCCTGCCCAGGGAGGCTGCGGCCAGCCTGTCTTGCAGGGCTCAGACCTGGCGCCGGGCGGCCCAGGTACTAGGGTCTTCAACGCTGCTCCCGGGGAGCCCGCGGCCCTCGGATCCGCCGGAGGGGGCTTCAGACCAGGCCGGAGCCCTCCTCCTGAGGAGGCTATGCCATTTGAGTTTGATGGAGCCACCAGAGGGAAAGGCAGCCCACCCCCCGGGCTCCCCGGAGCTATCCCAGAGAGCGTCGGTGGCGGCCAGTTCCCGGCAGTCGCGGCCTCGAGTGCGGCCCTCCTCGCTGCCGCCGAGAACGAGCCCCCCCTCTGGGTCCCAGGCGCCATCGGCAGCCCATCCCGAGAGGCTGAACGACCTCCTGCACCTTCCGCAGGCGGCAGCCCCCGGATGGAGGTCTCCGGACCCTCGCTCGAGATTGGCAGCGCCCCCATCGGGGTCCACGACGCTCCCGTCAACATGGACAGCCCCCCAATGGCGCTTGACGACCCGCCCATCGAGGTCTCCCGAGCCCCAGTTAAGAGAGAGCGAGCAGAGGGAGAGAGACCCCCAGCTGAGGGAGCAGCAGCCGAGATGGAGGGAGGCTCAGCCGCCGCCGCTGCGGAGG